GAGGAGCGTCGTCTCCGGCGAAGCCGGCCTTGCACATACCGGAACCATTATCTACGACGAGGGCTGCTACTTCGTCATCACACATTTTGCTGCTGCTTTAGTTTCTCTGTAAAAAAAATTTATTCGGTTAAATTAGGGTTCGACTATATCGAAACTAGTTTTTTTCTGATTTTTTCGAGTATAATTGAAATAATGAAATTTTTTTACCTAATTCCATTTAATTATATTACAATTTCATGTAATTGTATTTATTTTCGTTCAAACATTATATTATTATCTTCAAAAATTATAAGCAAACGTCTAATTATGTCTTGTTAAGCTAGCTGATTCAATACTTAAATTGACTATTTTAACTATTTTAGAGTTTTGGAAAAGGTATTAAAATTTTACTAAAAAATAATATTTCCGCTAAAATAATAATCTTTACTTTTTTGAAAATAATAATTTAATTCTGTTTTAATACTGTTTTAATTTTTTATATTTTCTGGAGTACACTCCAAATTTTATTTATTTTGAAATTAAAATATTGATTAAAACAATATTATCTTTTTATTATAATTAAAGAATCAAATCCTAGTTATTTTATGATGAAAAAAAATTTGTATTGACTAATACTATAATGTTTAAATAATTGGCTATTATATATACATTTCCTCTAGTATAACATACGGAGTCTTTTGCAAGAATTTTTCTATTCTGCTATACACAATTACACAACGTTGTTATAGTCAATGCTTTAATTCACTTTAGAATCAATCCAATTTCTTTCTCCCAACTTTGATCGCATTACAGAATTAAACTTTAGACCGAATTCTTTGATTTATACACTGACACGTTTCTGTTTTTTCCTTTTTAGAATCTCTTGTCAACACTTTTAACTTTTGTAATCGCGTAAATTTTTGAGGATCGAGCAAGCACAGAAAGGAACATTTCGCGGATATATTACTAACCGTGAGGGTGAGTTGTGAATCGACGGGCGGCTGAGGAGTGGCTGAGGCTCGAGGGCGTCGCGACGCCAGATATAACGTCTGTGGTGCGATACGCGATGCTACCGAAGATGGGCACGCGAGACGCCTCGAGGGCTAGCCAGCGATGCTGCCCACGCCTAACACCGATAGGCATGCAGTGGTGGTACACAGACCAGGAAGCCCGGATAGCCACGACGTCGCTCGGTTTGAGAGACGCCTTTGGGTGAAAACGGCGGCGACGCTGTTCGAGCGCCGCGAC